GTTTAATGGTCTATTAACTATAGATCTGCATATTGTTACTTTGTAATTCTCATTTTTATAGCATAGCATCATTTGTTTAAAATTTAGTGATAAATAATATTTTCATTCTGTTGACTTTAAGATGGTACACAATTCCATGCTTCAAATTCTATAAAACTTTTGTATATATTGAGATATTAGAAATGTTAACATATAAAATGAGTCATACAACTATAGAAAACTCATAATTGATTTTTATAACACTACTTATTTTTCTGAAAAATACACTAAAGAGCAAAACATTTATATATAACAAAACAATTCTAACAATCTGAAATTGTGAAGGAAAGCCTCTTGCTAAGTAAATCATGAAGATTAACTGATAAATCATCCTTCTCTAGTGCTTTGTAGACTTGAAGAAGGTAATACGTAGTAAGAATATTCTGAAAATCATATTTGTAAACCTCAAACTTTCGAATCAAATGTTTTAACTCTGGAGGAAAGGAACGTCCAAATCACTTGCCAGTTTTTAGATTGTCAGTGAGCTGCAACAAATAATCAAAGAGGGGCACGGAGCCTGAATCCATGGCAATCGGGTCAGAAAGGTGCCCAGATGTATTTCTTTAGTGATTGTTTACTTGCCAAATGCGTAAAGTGATGACTTTGAAAAAGAACAGTTGGACCTTTTAAAGAAATTGAAATACTGATGGGACCACTGAAAAACAGCCATTCCATCTACAAAGGCTACTTCTTCCAGTGGGGTGAGCCTACGGCACGCATGCAGCAGCAGGCTGTTTGTATCACTGAAAGATCTAAAAGGTTCGCCATCCCTGTGAGTCCAAGCCATCCACAGCACCATACTAAAGAGGCACATGCAAAGGTAAAACTGTAAAAGAGCTTTATAAATACTGGAGAATAATTAGATAAGATCTTTCAGGTAACAGGGATAAATGTAATGTAGCAAATACTGGAGATTTATCGGGTGATCTTAGAAAGTTAGTGCAACGTAAGTGAGAACATTTTCATCTGTGAGCTATGATGAGGTATTCTCTAAAGGCGTATTACATTTTTTTTACAAATTATTTGCAGTATCTCATCTCCGCAAATATTAGCAGTGCAGTTAATCCAAGGAATCCTAAGTGAATTGATAAAGTAAGGTAGAAGTGCTTTCACATACACAATGTTTATAAGCCAGAATAAATTGATGTGAATAAATATAGGAAATGCAACAGTAGTAACTTTCAATTTGCTATGACTTCTCAAAACCATTTCACATAATTGATTTTGAATATTGTTTCAGAGCATTTTCCATCTTCAGAGCCATCATCCAAAAACCAATGAAAGTGGCATATTTTGGTTTTGTTTTCTTGTTATCAACATTCAGAAAGAAAAGTTTAAAGAAACTTGGAGAAACAAAACGATTTATTGTAAGTATTAAACTGAGAAATACCTGGAAAACATTGTAACTAAAATTTTCCTCCCCTTTTCAATAGATTAATAGGTCCATCTCTATTTTCTATTCTGAACAATACGTTGAATTTTCACACTGAATTTGTGTAATGACAAATTCCACTTTTGGCATTTCGGGAAAACAAATGGTTTCAAAGAAGTCTGGCTAAAAATCAAATATAAGCTCTTCTGAGTTATTAGAACTCAGGGATCTGCTCTAACAGACGAAGTGCTTGTGGAAAAAAACACTTACAGTGAGGGGCCTCAGAACTGGGAGAAGGTTTAATGAATCTCCTCACTGACCCAACCCAGAGTGGATCAGTCATACCTTCATAAAGTCTGCAGAGAGTCAAGTGGAAACCGCAGCACTGTAAAGAAACAGAGCAAAGCAGGGTTTTGAATCCCAATCCAGAAGCTCAAGCTACTCACTGCATCAAAAATCACCTATGCATGGAGCGTTAAATTACATATATTTTAAAACTGCCATGTTATTTGTATCCATTGGTGTGTTTCTTCACTCTGTAAGTAGAAATGAGCCAAGTCTTTTGTGTTAGGATTTGTAGTTTGTGTGTATTTCATACTTAAAATCCTCCTGAGGACTACCAATACTTTTTAAAACAAAATTTCATATCACAAATTATACGAAACGTGCCTTTAATTATTTTAGTGATAAATGTGCAGAACTACAACTTTGAAACTATTTACGGCATTTCAGGGGTACACGTATTCATAATGCACTTACTGCTTCATTCCTCTGTGTCAAAGCGCTGTGGTCAGTACTTGATGTAAACGTTTTTCATTTGTTAGAATGAAAACATACCTCCCAATTAAATAAGGTAAGTTTAAATGACTTGTTCAAAAGATTTGAATTGGTAAATATTGTTCAAATAGTAGAATAAAAATATTGAAGTTGCAAATTTAACTTTTTAAAAAAATGGCATAATGACAGAGAAAAATATTTAAAGTTGAAACTCATACTGATATTCATTTAAATGACTTGGCTGTACCAAGAACAGTCTGCCAGAACAATGTACGTTGTCTTTTTTAACAAAGATTAAAGAAGAGTTGAATTTTCTCCATAGTCTGATATTGGAAAAGGACAAATTTAAAATAGTGCTGAAGATTAATAATGTGGAATCTCTTTCTGCCCCAGCTGTAAACAACATGAGGAGATGAGGAAAGTTCACTTCTAAAGATCACAGGATGTTTTGGAGTATTTCCTTTTTGCACAGAGACAGTCTGATCCAGCCTGGCTAGCGTTCCTATGAACCACGAAGCACACGAGATATCTGAGAATCCAAACTCTGTAACCAAACGTCACTCCTACCACGTGACTATTCTCCCAGAAAGCTATCAGGTGTGCCCTTTAAAGCACAATTAGAATAAGAAATTTGTTGAACTAGGAGATGAATTATAAGATGACAATTTGGGGGGAATGTAGCAAAACAAAGCATGTGACTACTGTGTCCTTGTTGCTTCCATCTCTGCCATTTTTGTTTGTTTGTTTGTTTGTTTTGTTTTTTGATACGTGGGATCGAACTTGGTACCTTGTGCTTGCGAGGCTGGCAGCAGAACTACTGAGATAAATCCCCAGCCCTCTGTCTTCGCCATTTTTTAAAATTGCTAGAGTTCTACTAATAGGTATTGCTCTCTCTTTGTCACAGAAATACAAAAAACCAGCTACCTGATTCCCTGTCCTGGCCATATGGAAAACTGTTGGTTTCCCATTGAGAGTCTCCTACCCTCAAATGTGCATGGCTTTAAATTCGGTATAGTAATAGCACAGGAAAAATAACACGGAGATCACCAGTGGAACATCAAATACCTAGGCTCTTTCTGCCTGGGTTACTGGAAAACCCCTCCAGAAGAAGCTGGTAACCTCATAAGAAGTCTGACTCCCAATATTTCAGACCCATGGTGCTCCCAGGTGAAAGGCAGCACCAGTGATACCACAGAAGAAGTCATGTTGTGTACTGAGCCCACCCTTATTTATCCTTTATCCCTTCCCTCTCTACAAACATCTCTTCACTTGATCTTAGCCAAAAGGCTGAGAAGCGATTCTACAAACATCTCTTAATCTCCTTTCTTGTTTACTGTTTGTTCTTCACATGTTTGCAGTACGTAATGTTTACATTCCTTAACTGGATTCTAGCATGGATCATGACACTCTTCCCCCTCTCTGCAGTGTCCTCCTGGTGTATCCTTCTCCCTGGAGTGCGGGCGAATGGGATGTTGTGTTGTGTAATGTAAGACCAAGGTAATGGTAACGGTAGAGCTGCTCCTGCGATCATGTTACCTTTTCTTAGGCTCTACTCTGGCCTATCTCATACAGAAGCTGCCTTTTGTCACCTTCAGAAGACTGCCCAGCCTTTGCATGCGTAGGCTCCTAACCCATAAGTGTACATGCTGCTGAAAAATTGTTGTTTTACGCTACTAACCTTTGGTTTAATGGATGATACAATAACAAAAATGAACAACAGATCCAAAAAACAAGAAAGGTAAACTAGTTATTTCAGACTGGTAAGTTTTTTTTTT